CCCATCGGGTAAAAAAGTCACTAAATTAACCTAATCTATATAGCTCTTAAGAGTCTGGTGCTCTATACCAATAATTATATCCTAGAGTTTAATAATTTTATCGTGCGAGCCTGATACTAGAATGCACCTATTGGGTGAGAAGATCACTGAATTAACCCAATTTAAATAGTCCTTAAGAGTCTAGTACTCTATACCAATTGTTATATTCTAGAGCTTGATAGTTTTATTATACGAGCCTGATACTAAAGTACACCCATCGGGTAAGAAGGCTATTGAATAGACTAGACCTAAATAGCTCTTGAAGATCTAGTGCTCTGTACCAGTCATTATATTATAAAGTTTAATAGTTTTGTCGTCCAAGCCTGATACCAGAGTGCGCCTATCGGGTGAGAAGGCCACTATATTAATCCAACCTGTATGGCCTTTAAGAGTCTGGCGCTCTGTGCCAGTTATTATATCCTAGAGCTTAATAGTATTATTGTGCGAGCCTGCTACCAGTGTATACCCATCGGGTAAGAAGGCCACTGAACAGACTGGACCTGAATAGCCCGTGAGGGTCTGGTGCTCTGTGCCCGTTGTTGTATCCCAGAGCTTGATAGTTGTATTATATGAGTCTGATACTAGTGTGCGCCTATCGAGTGAGAAGGTCATTAAATAGACCTAACCTGAATTGCCCTCAAAAGTCTGGCGCTCTGTGCCCGTTATTATATCCCAGAGTTTAATAGTATTGTCATGTGAGCCTAATACCAGTATATACCTATCGGGTAAGAAGACCATTAAATTGACCCAACCTATATGGCCCTTGAGGATCTGGTACTCTATGCCAGTCATTATATCCCAGAGTTTAATAGTTTTGTCACACGAGCTTGATACCAGTGTACACCTATCAGGTAAAAAGGTTACTGAATTAACCGAATTTATATAGCCCTTAAAGATCTGGTACTCTATACTAATCGTTATATTCTAAGGCTTAATAATTTTATTACACGAGTCTAATACCAGTATGCGCCTATCGGGTAAGAAGACCACTAAATTGACCGAATCTATATAGCCCTCGAGGGTCTAGTACTCTATGCTAATTATTATATCCCAAAGCTTAATAGTACTGTCACGCGAGCCTGATACCAGAGTATACCTATCGGGTAAAAAGGTCACTAAATAGACCCTATCTAAATAGCCCTCAAGTGTCTGTAAGATTAGACTCTAAGAATCCTCTAAAACTGGTAGACTTTATATCTACCTTACTACTTCGCTAAAAAAAGTCTTTTTTATAATATTTTGGCCAAGTATAAATATTAGTCCAGAGCTATAGAGTTAAAGTAGAGTAATACCAGCTATATAAGTATTTTAAAGAGTAAACCTTTTTGTATTATAAAGAAAGTTTGAAATCTTAGTATTAATATTTGTCTATAATATATATTAATCACTATTTAACTATAGAATTTAAAAAGACTTATCTATGTATTTAACTTTAGTATATCTATTATTCTTATTATATTAGATATACTTTTAATTAAAGCTAGTGTCTTTAATTAGTAAAGAAACCGCTTTTTAAGAAAAGTAAGAATCTTAGATTGAGATATATGATCTATACTCTCTTTTAGATAATATACCTAGTAGTGGTAGGAGTATTGTAGATTAGGTGTAAGATATTGGCTAATAACCTGAGAATCGATATTTTTGTGCTGTGTTCTGTAATTTATTAGGTTATAGATATTATATTTTAACTAAGTATCTATAGCTCGGAGATAATATAAGGCTATTTTCCTATAGATCTTTTACTTATGGATATGGAATAAGCTTTCTATAACTAGGAGGTAGTCTTGAAAAGATAAGTATAGGATATGCACTGGGGCCTCTCTATTATATGGTATATTGAGCATTGAATGTAAATAATCCAAAAGCTTATTTATTTCCTATGCTGATACTTTCAGTAGTAGGGCTAAAAATTTAATAAAAAGTGGGGTAGCAAGAAGAATAATAACCCCGATAATATTATAGAATTTGTGTACGAGTTTCTTAGAGTCCTCTTTATTATCGCCTATAAGTCGATTTAGAATGGGTAGATATATTTTATTTATCTGAGTTATAGTTGTAGTTGCTTGAAATTCAAGAATTTTCTGGAGCTGTTTTTGTAGATATATTCCTTTGTTGATAAAACGATATACCGTTACCGCGAAGATAAATAATAGAATAGCTATCTATATTAGCTTTTCTCTATTGTTATCCCCCGGCCAATTTGGGGAAAGTGAGTGTTTATATTAGATTTCCGAAAGCTTAAAGTCTAGAAACACGCGAATATTATTTTTAATTATTGGCTTAGGTAGCTTATAAAGAATTAGGTTTTGATAGTTCTTGTTATCCTTAAAGCTAAGGTGAATTGGGAGTTCAAGTCTACTAGTTAGGAATATTTGTAGATATATAGATTGAATTTCCTGCAATTTAAACAAGAGGTTAAATATCACTTTTATATCCTCTTTTCCATTGTATTTATTTAAGGTATTAATAATAATTATAATTGTAGTAGATTGGTTTGGATATAGCTTTATAAGAGGTTGATAAAGAAGTTTGTTAAATTGTTTACCAAGTAATTTAGAAATAATATTTAAATCATTCTTGATAGTATTTAAGATATTAGGTATTAGTCGCCGGTGCCTAGTTACTAGTTATCTTATAATAGTTAATATCAAGCGTTTTGTATTATCATGGTCGGTTTCGCCTTGCTTGAAAAAGAATATGGCGCCGAATAGTTCTTACTTTTGGAAAGATTGAGCGATTGTCCGTGTAATAGTGGACTTTCCTGTCTCTGCTATTCTATTCAACCAAAATATAAATTTATCCTCTAATTCAGCCTATTCTAAGATCTGGCAAAGAAAATCCGTTCTGGTCTCCGGGAGGCAGAAATCCTCGTATTAATTGATAAAGGAGTCAAAAAATGCTCCTTCCGCAATAGATAAATTCTTGAAGCTAGACTGTTTATTAAGCTATTTTATAGATTTTGCAAGTTTATCAATCTCGCAAAGGATTTTTTCTGCGTCCTTTTCGCGCTGGAGATACTCGCAGAGTTTAATTTACTTATGTAGGTTTTCTCTTTCCTTTTTAACTAATATCTTAAGCTCAGTGAGCGGGTGCTCAGTGATAGCGGTGATGTAGTCCAGCAGTTTTTTTGTTTTGCTAGCACTTCGGGCCTTCTGTATTAGTACTGTATAGTGAAAGATTGTTATATAGAGCTGGACTAATGGACTTTCCAAGTCTTCCGGGTTACTGGACTTGCTCTCACGATAAAACTTTAGCTCGATAAAGGTACACTGTGTGAGAATATCTGCCAGGTAATCCAATAATTCGAATAGGGTATCCCGTTAGTTATAATGATTTTTAGTCATCTATATTTCCAATCGTACATTTAGTCAGCCATTTCTATCATCTACCGGGAGATATAACATACTGTCAATCCCAGTAACACGATTGCCTAAGCACTAGCTGTATGTTGAGTAGGATTAAAGGTTGTAGCTGCGCTAATAATATCCTTGAAAGATAGCGCTGTATTAAGAATATTTCTAGAGTATATTCGAATATTTCCATTGATATTCTGTTAATATTTTTCGTATTGCTCTTTGATTAAATAGATAATCTTATTAATTAAGTCCTCTGTTCGGATTTGATTTTCCTTATCAATGGAGTTCGCAGTGACTTTAACCGTCGCTAAAATCCTTTGCTTCTTTTTACCTAGCTGATCATAGGTAATCTGCCATAAGTCCTGCGATTTAAAGGGCTCAATTGACTAGGTAGTCTAGATAGTGGATGGGCAAGATAGTGGTAGCGGTAGGCTATTAGTCTTGCTCTCTTTCTAGTCTCCAAATAATTTATACAGTAGCTTTCGAAACGGTATCTTTGATTATTTACCAGGGCTTTAAAAATAATTGAAATAAAGTCGGAGATTGTGAAAGTGGAAAAGCCCAGCTAATATTATATTTTCTCTATTTCATATTCTCACAATCGATACTCCGCACTTCAATGTGCTGGCGCGGTTGAATAATAAGGATATGGCAATCTAATCAACTAATCATAGCTAATAGGAAGAGAAAATCTTTAGAAGTGTATCTTTGCTTCTAACAATATTAAACAGCACTGAGAGTTAATCCAGGGCGCTATTCGGTAACAAATATAGGCCCAAACAAGTAAAGCTGCCTGCGAACTAACCTACGTTCTATGGTCTTGCCAATAACAAAGGTGACTTTGTATCTGCTAGGAATCTTAACATCGGCCCGGACCGGCCTTTCTGAACCAAGAACTCTGTTGTTTGTCTAATTGTGTCTTTAGTAAGCAGACCCACACGCCGAAGAAGCACCGGTAAAATATACAAGATCTGGTTATAATATATTGGTATATTTACAATACATACAAGGAATAATGATACTCCGAAAGACATCTAAAAATAGGTTAGCTTAGATTAGAGTTAGGGTTATTAAAAGAATCAAAGAGTGTAAGTGGTGACACCGGTATCCGGACACTCTGTACTCCTTTGGAAAATGGAATCAAAATCCATAGTAAGCAGCCACTAAACAAGGGCCAGGGTAAGAGCTGAAGTAAGAACCAAAGTATTATGTTCCTTCTATACATACATCTTGCAAGGTCCATCCTTATTCCACGGCTGAAGACGGCCTCCTAGGGAGATTAGTAGCTAGAGGGCTATTATAGGAGCAGATCGAGTACTAATTTAGTCAGGTCTTTACTGGATGGAATATTAGGTCTCTGCAAGGGCGTTGGTCAAGAATTTCAAAACGCAGAATGGCGAATGATGGAATGGAGCGACAATATTTATAGTCCTAGTCATCTTCATGAAGTTCCAGAATACTTGATATCACCCACAATACGGCCGCGGTTTATCCCAAGCTTCACTAGAAGACCCTACGTGCAGAATTTAATTATAAAAAGGGCCGTTTTCATCCTACTACCCTTTCTTGCTTCTCTTCAATCATGTTCTATAGTCTATAGCCACAATGCCTCAACCCGTCGAAGCGCCTCGTCGACACTGGGATCCATCAAGAACCTGCGAAATTATAGACCCTAGTCGGCACTGCACCTGCATTGGAGTCACCAAAAATGGGGATACATGTAGGAACAAGGTGTCTAAAAAATCCCGTGAAATAGCCTCCCACAGACTGGAAATCTTATCTATGTATCCTCCCAGTGAATCCCTCGTTTCAAAGCTGCAGGAAATTACCGGTCTCCTCTACTACAAGCGGCGACATCAAGATCAGGCGACTTCCTTAAACGAGCGGTGGTTTACGCGTCTAGGCCTCTCGCCAGAGTAAGTACCGATACTAAGTCCAGGTCGCTCACACTCGTTACAACGTCGCTATACATAGAGCGACCGGGTCCCGACAACGAGGGCTAAGCGCCGCGTATCTAAAAACTCAATAAACCTACCAACCACCCACCAGCAAGTCACTGTCGCCATAGTTCAGGAGAACCAGATACCATTTCATGTGTTATCCACCAGGCCAGCGGTAGTAACCGTCTCGACGACTTCTGGTTATACCGGTTCCGTTATATTCCGCTCTTTTTATAAGGGACGTGACATCTCAGATATAGAATATAGTATCTGCCGCGCGCGTTACTCCGAAGACACGGTATACCTTAACTGTGAAAAGTGCATGGGAGAGTTCCACTGGCGGTGTATGGAAAGCTGGCTCATACACCGCCTCCCTCGGTCTAACTCTAACTATCCTAATTGGTATAAAACCTAGATATAATATTGTAGCTTCGCAAAATATAGCTAACATACTTTCTAGTCGGCAAAACCGCCGTTTCGACGGATTTCACGCCGCATATCCAAGGTCATCCTTAGATACAGCCAGCGAGGTCTCGCAGTCTACTACATTACCGGCCGCTCCTGATCTACCGCGGAGGGATAGGTTATCAGATCAGGTCCCCGTTAAACCTGAATTGTTGTCAGGATCATATGGTCCATCGCCCATAGAAGGGGTTCGCCGTTCTACACGGTACACTCGGCGCCCGGATCACTTTGTCCTATCTTAATCCAAGGCCCAGGTACGAAGACTGTTGGAGAAATAATATACCAATTAAGAATAGTCATATTGTTTAATACAGCAATATTTCTCTGATATAAAGTAGAAAGACTGTGCCAATCTAATAATTAAGTACAGACAGCGCATGCTCTGTTTCGCGAGAATAGCGAACTTTATATAAGGATTTTAACAACGTCCACCCTCTTGAGGACATACATAATTCAGGGCCAGTTAGAGCCTATACCCTAGTGCGTGGTCCACCGAGCCCTTGCTGGATTTACTCGCCCGCCCATTGGCTTACTCTGCTGTAATCTACGTCTCTATCTATACGTGCGTACTCCTACCCATTAGCGGTGTATATCTTTAGCTATTGATTTTAATTTTCTTTTCTTAATCGATTTAGTAATCTTAGATTTGCAAGATATTAATTAATCTTTTTTATTTCTTTTCCTATTCTATTTCTATATTTATAAAAGATAATCTATTAAGCTATAATATTACTCAATATATGTATTTAAATAGTTATTTTTAACGTATCTATACGTTAATTCGAATTTATATAATATTTATTATAATTTATTCTTTTTAAATATTAGTATTTCTTGCTATTTTCAATCTTTTCAGATTTAAAAGACTAAGACTGGAAAATATATTTATATATTTAAAAATCCTATCTCGATAGATCTCTTTATATATAATAAAATGTATTGTCTCTAGATCTATACTAATTATTATTATATAGTTACCCTGTAGTATTTAAACTAGTATTTCTATACCTATTATTGATAGTATCCATCGATTAAGACCGCGGAGCTTCGCTAGGTAATCTTAACTAAGATACTTAAGAAGCCTTGGATTGAGTTTCGTAAAAAGTTTAGTTAATTTCCTTTATTAAATAGTTCTCTAATTCCTTATTTTTCTATCTATTTAGGATTACGCTGTTTTTATTGCTTTTATATTAATTAATTGTTTAATACTCTCCGGAATTATCTTAATTATAGTTATTTTAATACCCGGTGGCCATGGGGTCGGGATTACTATTAAAAATCTAATCTTACTATTACTACTAAATATATTAGCTATTAGCAATTTTATATTATTGGGATAGTTAGCTATTTTTTTACTGTTATACTAGTAAACTAGATAAAGTAAATTTAAAAGGCTATTTAAATAAGTAAGGCTAAGTTTATCTAGAGTTAAATTAACTAGATATATAAGTAGAATTAGTAAGTTTAGATTATTTAATAATAGTTTATCTCGATTAAAAAGTATTCCAGCGAGGTCTCTTTATAGATAGAATTAATTTATTGGGTCAACATTAGGGTCAACATTAGGGTCAACATTAGGGTCAACATTAGGGTCAACATTAGGGTCAACATTAGGGTCAACATTAGGGTCAACATT